CTTTTATCACCGAAAGTGTTTTGTTTTGCTAATTTTTCATTCATTTCACTCAACAACTAAAGTCAAATTCTCATTCTATCAAATACACTCTATAATTGATCGTTTGACTGTTGTGCAATTCAATTCGATTGCTGTATTGTTGACTTCGGTTGTCAACACTCGTCAACGTTTTCAGTAAATAGCATATGCAACTGAATGAGAAAATGATTCGAACTGTAAAGTAAAATGAGACGAAGTGAATGAGAAAAAGTCATGAAGAGAACGGCATTCGCATGTGATAGCTATGAGAGTGAGTAGAACACGTCTGAAAAGAATGAGAATTCGTCTAAATCAGTTTGAAGTGCGTGAGCGTGTTATAGACAATAGCTTTTCATGCAATCATAATCAACTGCAATACTGAGCAACACAACGTTCTAGGATAGTGGGTCTCATAAGAAGTGAAATTACTTGTTTTCGGTAATTTGGGGGTGTGGGAGGAAAGGGAGGGGGCTAATGGCGGCCTACCACAATATCAAAAGAGGTAATGGAGCACCTGAACGTGAGAACCACTGAATTAGATCATTTAATACCTCACATATCATACAACTGATCATACTTTCAACTTTGCTTCTGCCTAGCTGGAAGTTCTTTATTCCTTTAAACTTTCTCAACGAATCATGTGTTCCGAGCATAGAACCGTGACTTCCGCAGATTGTTTGAGTAAAAATTAGTGTGCAACTTCAGGTTGTTTCTGAAGATGAGTATAAATGCCATTGCAATTGGGGTTATGTTGGCAAGCGTTGCGAATTCGCAACGGCATGTTTAGAGAATATTTGCGGTGGAAGGGGTGAATGCATACCCAAAGCAGACGCTTCTTTCGAGTGTAAATGCATGAAAGGATACTACGGTAACACGTGCCAGTTCGAAGAGGATGGTTCGTCTTTAATCATTCATTAATCCTCACAAACGTCCTGTTTCATCCGAAGATATTATCCATGATTAGAAGAAAGGATAGTTTCGTGTTCATGTTACGACTCTGAAAGAAACACTTTACTATGGCACTGATAGGTTTGTCGTCATGAGTGTAGCAAAGAGCATATCAAATTTTGTTTGTTTTGATATACGAATGATCAATACAGTATCCTCCACCTATTGACTATTGCTTTGATTCGAGGATGTGGTGGTCATTCAACAAATTCAAGCGGAAAAATCAAATATCCTGATTGGACATGGTATCATTTCGGTAGAAATAAATCATGCGAATGGATCATTACGGTGGATGAACCGAATAAAGCAAGTTGTCCAAGTCGTTATCTATATTCGCTGTTCCATTGAGCATCTACATTTTTTAAACTCAATAAGGCAGAGGACAACTTTTAACGATACATTGATCATCAAAAAGCATCTGAACTCATTGAATTATGCAGCAGTAAATGAAGAGTCATCATTGTACTTTTATGTTAAATATTCTCCAAATCAATCGTAATCTGCGTAGTTTTATTTCCTAAAATTAGTGAACTGAAGTAATTGACGACCTGGAATCCTTATGACATTGTAGATAATCGAACTGAATTTCACCAATTTCCACCTACCGTCAAGCAGTCTCGATCTGCTGTTTTGTTCGCGTGCTGATGCGAATGTGACTCTTCGCGACGGTGACTCTGCGAGCGCTCCTCTTGTCGGTGTTTACTGTGGACATCGAGGCTCGATTTCAGTAAGATAAAATATCGTTGGTTCAAAATCCCCTCGCTTGCTGGATTGCATGTTGCAAACGTTGACTACTAGAGCAATACTAGAGCAAGCGATTACAGCACATGAAAATCCCAGTATTAAGATACGAGGTTACTGGAAGAGTTTCAGATTCACCTTCTCCTCGAAACAAGGGGAAAAAGTTATTTGAAAAAAGATGGATGAAAGACATTCTTANTCTTAGAGAGGACTTTTTTGGACATGATAAGTAGAAAAAAGTGATAACTCCATGCAATTGACCAAATGCATTTGGAATCAGTGAATGATATGTCCTAATCGTTCTTAAATACTATTGACCAACCATTACATGTCTCAGTGGCCGTTGTTAAGTACCATTCGCCTTTCAATATGCTCATTGATATTGAGGAGGAAACCTCACTAAGTCAGTACAAACCCCGTGAGAACTTGACCAATATTTCATGTGCCACCATCTAGCCCGATCTATTTCTCATCGAATAAAGCGTATATTTCGTTTGTATCCAGTCAGCGACGTCTTGGCATCGGAGGATTTTCATTCGAATGGAAAACTGTTGATAAAAGTATCTTTGTTGCTGTTCATTTGATCTTCTCTTGTTACCTTTCTCCTCCCCTTAAAATACGCTTATGAGCGATGCCTAAAAACAGCATTAATCGTGCGAAAAAAATCGAAAAAAAAATCAAAAATCGAAATTCCTCTAGACAATGTCTTGAAAGAGCTTCAGCGTATGATGTGATTTACGCAATTTAAAGAATGTGGTGAACGCCAGTATGGAAACGAAGGCGAAATATCGCTGTATGATTATCAAAAAAGTGAAACATGTCAATGGCATGTAAGCGTCGATCCAAGTCGTCACATTGAAGTGACCATAGAACCGTTCAACCTCGGCTCAAAACAAATCCGAAACTGCTCGCTGAACTCACTTGAAGTTAGTAGATGTGTTCGTTAAAGAGAGCTATTTTCGGTAATTACTTATTAAGCAAAACTGAAAGCACTCCATTCATTGTAGCTGTTCGATGGTCTGGAAGTCGACGAATCGGCCAGAATCCTGCATTTATGCAACAGTGAAGAGACGAGGACGCTTGTTCGAACTACACTACCTTATTTCACTGCTTACTTCAGAAGTGACTTCCCATCCGATTTTCCGACCGATGAGTGTGAGCAATTTTTGCCATTTTCCTTTCCAATTTGAGCGTTGCGTGGAAAGCATAAAGCTGGAAAATTCTCAGTGCGCTTCATATGGATATTCTTAGAGAAATATGCCAGCTGGTGCTCCGAAGCTTTGTATTGCTGGTTATGATTCCAGTATCGAATTAATGAAGTGATTAATTTGCGGTTTCTGTGGTTTTTGGAAATTCTGAAAGAATATCTTTGGGATATCGGGAAGCATTAGCTAAATTGCAAACTGATCTCCATTCATTCCATTGATAGGCAAGGCAACAGTGATGTCGCACATCGAAGTTATGTTTCAGTATAAGATGAAATACGACTTTCTGCTTACAATTAGGTATTAGACATATGTAGACTTATGTATTGCATGAGCAGAATCACGTAGTTTTTTTCAGGTTGAAATTTCGTATAGCAATACAATCCCTTTTGTTCGTTGGTTGTTCTCATTTGGTTTTTCCGCCTAAAATTTTTTGTATGGATTTGCAGGTAATGAAGATGCGAAATGCAGAAGAGGATTCACCATAAAATATAGAACAATTGAATGTGCGTTTTACAAAGTTTTATCAAGTTCTCATTCGTCATTTTCGATACCAATAAATCATTCATGAACAGTATGGAATCTGAAATCCTTTTACTTTGACGAATAGAAAGTTCAGAGGTTTTAGAGTCTGTTGGTTGCGAAATTTATTTACCTAAATTTTTTCGCTATCACGTGCCCTAATGAACGTAACTGAAATTGTTGTATTCTGTGCATAATTTAATTTGAGTGTAGTAAAGAACCCTTTGTTAATGCATCAAATGAAGAAAGAGAAGAGAATTTATGAATAGTTTAAGTCAGGGAATCGTTAAAGCAATCACAATATCAATTTCACGTAGTGCTCCTCCCCTCTATCTCCCTTTGTGTTAATAATCAATTCTCGGGCATATTCAGTGGATAAGGACTGTGGCGGTAATATTCTACCAGATGCTGATGGAAATTTTGATGGTGTCATTCAGTCTCCAAACTATGGCTTCAATTATTTCCCGAATTTGGATTGTCTTTGGAGTCTGGATGCTTCAACAACATCCAATGTAATTTTTGTGATCATGATGAAGAGTGATCAGATTTTCGAGAAATGGTGTTTGATCTATACCTCAATCATATAATCAGTGCTATCCATATATTTTCGAATATTTATTCGATTTCAAAATAATCGATCGAAAGCATGATTGGTATTCGAGAGTTGGCCACCAAGTGGCTTTGATTGCTAAAGTTAAAATATTCCTGACAAATTCTCGATTTGTTGAATATATTTTGAAAATTAAGAGACCTGACGATGGGCACGTGATCAGGGCTGAAGTGATTGATATGGATATACCTTCGTCACCGCCAAGCGGAATTAAAGGTGATCAAAGTTGTTCCATAAAATGATTCCATTAGAATCGTTCTGGTGATTAAATGTCAAATTTTGTGCCGAAGGCTGCTGCCTGCTTTAAAAAGGGAATCATGCAAGCATATGGAATGAAAATTCCTGATCCTCTTCTCAACTTAAAATGAAGTTCTCATCATTTTCTATCAACTGTGAACTGCTCCAAAGATGATTTCATTGCTTTATCGGCATTAAAGCGTATATCTGAATCAGTTACGTTCTATTATAATATCTGTTGCTCTCAGAGGCTGATCAGTTATGTTTTTGAGTCAAATTTATCAAATATGCCTCTTTTTTATAGCTATACCTGCACTTCGCTACTATCATAATCATTATCTTACCGTGAGCCCACTTCACAAACTACTCAGGCTTATCGGTCCTTGTCGTTACGACTATCTTACGGTAAGGCTTTAAATGCGTAAATGCCTGTGATATCATCTTCTAACTAGCGCTAAAATTCGAAGAGTAACATTCGGTATCTAAATGACGATACATTGACGATTGGATGACAATACAACCAAATGAATTTGAACGATATCGCTAATTGGAAAAAAGCAATTGTGACGATTTTCTGCCCTAGGAAATTGTATGAAGAAACAGTTGTTTGTTGTAAACGGCAGCAAGTTTCGATTTCTGTGCTCATCAGAGGATAAAGAATATTTTCATTCATCTGAAGACCGAAGTAATGCTTGAAACATCTGATATTGAATGCCAGTGAACTAAAGTGAAACTTGTGGTTGCCCCAGTCGATTTTTGCTTTGATTCGGCTGCAAACATTGAGATGTTTTTTCTTTGAAGTTCAAAGACGGTGGTGACATAACAAAACCGATTATTGGTCGATACTGTAACAGTCGACGTCCAGAAGGACCGATCGTGTCGACAAGTCCGAGAATGGTTATTCAGTTCCACTCGAATCAGACTGTGAATGGGAAAGGCTTCAAAATATCTTATACTTCGAGTCAGTCTTTCGTGATTGTTATTATTTGTGTGGACAATTCATAAACCAATTGTATTGGTTGGTTGGGATGTTGAGGAATTCGTAATTTCGTCATACAAAGAATTCGCAAACAAAGGAACAGTATTTGTATACTGCACCAACTGCAGGTTTTTTGTAAGCAGAAAGCATCGTGACTGTCAGCAAAATGATGAATAATTTGCACGCGGATAGCATGACCTTTTACAGCCACATTCTTTCAGATGTACAAACCAATAATCAAATTAAGCTACTGGACAATTTCTCACCGCATGACTTTGACACCATTGAAGTTCCCTCCCCTTACAGTCTCATTTTTCAGTTGAGTGATAGCTCTGCCAAGGTAGGAAATTTCAGCCTGTGAGAAGCACTTCAATCAGATAAACGGAACAATTCAAAGTCCAAACTATCCGGACGGTAGCGCACGTGCATTCAAGTGCACTTATGTGATTGATGCGCATCGAACCAAGGCCATACGTTTACGTTTCAAGTTCATTGGATTGAAGTTGGATGTGCGATCGTGCTTCTATGATCAGTCGAATCAGGACACGCGTCGCGATTACGTTGAGGTTTGTGTGCATTTGAACTTGTTCATATTTATTACAACAGAGGAATTCATGACGATAGAACACCATTCACTCGGCTTCATAACAAATGCTTCTTTTTGTTCCATTTCTTTTAAAAATTCCATTTCCTTCTTGAAATTCACTCATTTCATCCATTTCGTTCCTGCTTTCTCGACTGTGCCAATCCATCAAAAGAATAGACACTGACTTTGTTCTCTCGCAGATGGACGATAGAGTGGCAGCTCAGTTGATAAGTTCACAAATTCATCCGAATATTCAAATGACCATTGAGGGCTCTGAAATTCACTGCCTGTTGCATCGACGTTGTTAGAGAATGATATTGTCGAAAAATTTTCAGTTTTCTGGCGGTCACGATTCACACAGTCAGATCAATAAACGATATTTCTGCGCTCGTTATCCGTTTATCGCTCCTGATGGCGAGATTGTGAGTTTACTTAATGGTTCACGTGAAACGTTGCGGATATGACAAATCATGATTTTCAACTGTGGTTGACTGTTTGGTATTCCGAGTTTTGCTCGTTCCTCAAGTGTCGAAAATTTCATTGGGATTTTCTCACTGAGAGAGTCATCTTAGGATGTTTTTCCTCAGTGGC